AAGATAATTCACCACGACCAAGTAGGATTCATTCCAGGGACACAAGGATGGCTCAACATCCGAAAATCAATCAACGTTATCCAACACATCAACAAAAAGAAATATAAAAACCATATGATAATATCAATAGATGCCGAGAAAGCTTTCGACAAAGTACAACACCCATTCATGATAAAAGCCCTTGAAATTCTTGGGATACAAGGAACATACCTCAATATCATAAAGGCCATATATGACAAGCCAACAGCCAGTATCATTCTCAATGGTGAAAAGCTGAAAGCAATTCCATTAAGATCTGGAACAAGACAAGGATGTCCACTCTCACCACTGCTTTTCAATATAATACTGGAAGTCCTAGCCAGAGCAATAAGACAAGAGAAAGACATACAAGGAATACAAATAGGAAAAGAAGAAGTCAAACTATCACTGTTTGCAGACGATATGATAATATACATAGAGAACCCCAAAAACTCCACAGAAAAACTTATTCAACTAATCAATCGGTTAAGTAAAGTGGCAGGATACAAAACCAACACACAAAAGTCAGTAGCCTTCCTATACACAAACAATAAATCTGAAGAAGAAGAAATCAAAAAAACTATCCCTTTTATTATCAAAACAAAAAAATCAAATACTTGGGAATAAATGTAACAAAAGAGGTAAAGGACCTATACAAAGAAAACTATAAAACACTGTTAAAGAAATAGAAGAAGACACAAAGAAATGGAAAGACATCCCCTGCTCGTGGATTGGAAGAATAAACATTATTAAAATGGCCATCTTACCAAAAGCAATACACAGATTCAATGCTATTCCAATAAAAATTTCAATGACATTCTTCAAAGTAATAGAACAATTACTGATGAAATTCATATGGAATCACCAAAAACCCTGAATAGCCAAAGCTCTTCTAAAAAAAAAAAGAAGGGAATGGAGGCATCACACTCCCAGTCTTCAAACTATACTACAAAGCCATAATCATCAAAATTTCATGGTATTGGAACAAGAACAGACACACAGACCAATGTAATCAAAGAGAAAATCCAGAAATAAACCCACAAATTTATGGTCAACTAATCTTTGACAAAGAAGCAAAGACTATGCATTGGAGCAAAGAAAGTTTGTTCAATAAATGGTGCTAAGAAAACTGGGTCGCTACATGCAAAAGAATGAAGCTTGACCACTACCTCACACCATACACAAAAATCAACTCAAAATGGATTAAAGAACTAGACATAAAAGCTGAAACCATAAAATACATAGAAGGAAATATAGGCGAAACACTCCATGATATGCACATCAAAGACTTCTTTACAGACACATTACCCAAAGCAGTGATAGTGAAGGCAAAGATAAACAGCTGGGACTACATCAAATTAAAGAGCTTCTGCACAGCAAAAGAGACAATAACAAAAACAAAGAGAAACCCCAGGAACTGGGAGAACATTTTTGCACACAACACTAATGATAAAGGACTGATCACAAAAATCTACAAAGAGCTGATGAGACTCAACAAAAACAAAGAAAATAATCCAGTCAAAAAATGGGCAGAAGAGCTAAAAAAGAAACTTCTCTGAAGAGGAAATGCAAATGGCCAACAGGCATATGAAAAAATGTTCAACATCACTTGTCATCAGGGAAATGCAAATCAAAACTACAATGACATTCCATCTCACACCAGTGAGAATGGCACATATTAAAAAAACTAGCAACAACAAATGTTGACGAGGTTGTGGAGAAAAAGGAACTCTCCTGCACTGTTGGAGGGAGTGCAAACTGGTCCAACCACTATGGAGAGCTGTGTGGAGATTTCTGGACCTACTAAACATAGAGCTTCCATATGATCCAGCAATTCCACTCCTAGGTATTTACCCAATGGACACAGAAACATCCATTCCAAAGAGCACCTGCACCCCTATGTTTATAGCAGCACTGTTTACAATAGCTAAGCTTTGGAAACAGCCCAAATGCCCAAAAATAGATGACTGGATCAAGAAGATGTGGTCCATATACACCATGGAATATTACTCAGCATTCAAAAAGATAAACACATGCAATTTGCAGCAACATGGATGGAGCTGGAAGGGATCATGCTCAGCGAAATAAGCCAGAAAGAAAAAGAAAAATACCAGATGGTCTCACTCATAGCAGGAATTTAGAAAACTTAAATAAGGGACCAGGAAAAGGAATAACTAAGAAAGTAAAAATCAAAATCAACAAACAACTATGAACCAGAGACACTCTATGGGGGTTGGGGGCGGGGAAAGGAGGGATTGGGGTCAAAATAAGGGGGTTGTAATTGTATGGGGAATATAAAAATAAAATTTAAATGAAAAAATAAAAAATAATAAAATAATATAAATAAAGATGCAGGATAGAAATATCAAGCCCAAGAGCAGAAACTACAGACTACATCTAATAAAATAATCTGGTTAAGTGGAATGAAAACAGATAAGTTTCTAAGTGTACTAGGATAAGTAATGGAATCAAGATAAAATAATACCGGCATACTTATAAGTGACCTTGCTTTGCACTATTAGTAGAATACAGTATTTAAGAGTAAAAAACCTCTGAAATCTCAAGAGATATGTTAATCTCTATGTTTTGATTTGTCTGTAAAACTATTTTTTAAGATTATTTATGCATACAAGATCTGGGGTACAGGCCAGAGGTGCGGGGTGTGAGAGGATTCACCAGAGACAGAGTGCAGAACAGGCAGATTGACCTAAGTACACTGCTGAGGGGAGCAGCGGGCATGGACGAGTCAGGAGAGGTCTGCTGTGCCATATGGGTTGCTCCCTGGCAGGCTGGTGGATTGAACTCGTGCTGCAGTGGCTGCAGATAGCTTCATAGGTTGTGTGTTAACCCATTGCGCCACCAGGGAGGCCCCCCAAAAACTGGATTTTAAATGTACTTACTTCATAGAGTTTGTCTGTGTATCAAATGAGGGCACATATTAATGTGTTTGCCCAGTGATTGACACAGAGTATGCACTTCATGTACACTATTATTCATAAAAATTATACAGAAATTACTCAAAGCTCTAGATCTGGATTGGCAAAAAATAGCCTCCTCCATAAGACAAATCCAGCTGGCCACCTGTTTTTGTAAACAGTTTTCTTGGAACACAGCCAAGCGTCAAGCACTTAGGTATTGTCTAGGACTTCTTTCCATCTACAGCAGCAAAGCCTAGTCCTTGTGACAAAGACCATATGGCCTAAAGTATAAGATATAAACTATCTAGGCCCTTACTATTTCTAAGGATATGTTGTCTGCAAAGGAAAAAAAAAGACAATAAGCATACCAGTAATCATTAAGAAGTAGAGCACCAATCTCCTCTGCTTACAACTGCCCTAAGTTTTTTGGAAGTTCTTCCCCTAAGGGTTTTTCTTTTATTATTTTTAATATTTTATTTTATATAATTCTTACATCATTTTTCAATTTTGCACAATGAATGCATTTTCATTTTGGTTATATTCCCCATACAATTGCACCTCCCTTATTTTGACCCTAACCCAAATGCCCAAAAATAGATGACTGGATCAAGGAGATGTGGTACATATACATAATGGAATATTACTCAGCAATCAAAAAAGATAAATTCATGCAATTTGCAGCAACATGGGTGGAGCCGGAAGGGGTCATGCTCAGCAAAATAAGCCAGAAAGAAAAAGAAAAATACCGGATGGTCTCACTCATAGCAGGAATTTAGAAAACCTAAATAAGGGACCAGGAAAAAGACTAACTATAATAAAGAAAAAATCAAAATCAACAAGCAACTATAAACCAGAGACACGGGGCGGGGGGGTGGGGGGTAGGGAGAAGAAGGATTAGGCCCTAAGGGGTTTTTATTTGAAAGGACAGGGGGACTGCCAAGGGAGAAGGAAGAGCACATTTCTACATGGATGATAGGGAAAGGTTTTCTTCCCCAAAAACTGGGCTCTGGCGCAGCACTGAAAGCCAGTAGCATGGCTGTTGTCTCTTTAGCAGTTTAAAATAAGATCATTTGAAAGTGCGACAGTTTTGAAGACACTATAGAGTTGTGGTTAAGAATACAGACACCTGAGCTAGGTTTCTTGGTTTCAAGTCCTGGTTCTGCCGTTAATTAGCTGTGTGGCCTGGGCAAACTAATTAATCTCTACATTAATTAGTATAGTAAGGATTAAATAAATGACTAAAAAATCTCCTACTTAACATCAGTAAATACATTCCTGAAAACTGAAAGTGGTACGCATAAATGCTCACCTAACTGCACTGTTTTAAATGAGAAAGTGCCAATGTGTGTCCACCCACAACAGACACACACCTGCACAGCTACTCTATCCTGACGCCACAATAACCAGTTACAGACAACGCTCACCCTTCTCACGCATGCGCCAGCCCTAGCTAGGGCTTTTGACAAAAGCGGTCACCGTCCGAAAATGAAACTAAGGTATTAAAACCGTTTCTATTTACGATTATCAAAGTATGTTTCAGTATCAATATTTAAAACCTCTGTTTCCAATCACAAAACATCATGAATGTGTTTCCCAAGGCAGTTAGTTGCTTGGTGTGAAGCAACATCTTTTCCATATAATCGCTTTTCTCAGTTGCTCTACTATTTCGCTATTTTCTTCAACACTTTCCATGGTGCAGTTTTCGACAAAACCAGGCCTCACTACAAGAACCCTGTGGTGAATACGTCAGGACCAGAGCACCTGAGAGAAAGGCTCAGAGGCAGCAAGGAGCCTCCATGCCGAGCCAGCAGCATCCAAGATGCCCAACGGGCTGGCTTTTCAAGATGCCTCACATGACGCTGACTGTGGATCACTTTGGGATCAGTCCAGACATTTTTCTGTATATCCATTTGATTAAAATGTCTCATTGAGTTTTAGGGAATGTGAACATTAATGTTTCCCATAAACACTGCCTGAGAGGGAAGTCTGAGTCATAAAAACCCAACTGAGGATGCCCAACCGCCACCCTCAGGCAGCCTCGAGGGCCCCACGCCCGCTGCTCACCGCATCTTCTGGATTTCAGCCCCTAGACAGCGGTTCCACCTGTGCGGTGGGCGGGGCCGGCGGCCCTCACTTCCGGCCACCAAGCCACGCCCCTTGGTGTTGCCCCACCCCCCATGCTGGCCTTCCGCTTCCTGATGCCCCGGAACTTCCGGGGTCAGCGCCATCCACTGCGCCTACAAAGACTGGGTATCGCAGGAGAAGAGTACTTTTGGGGGTTGCATTTGAAGGGGGTTCACAATCTGTTACAGATAAAAACTGGCCATTGCCAAACCTCAGGTTGTGGCCAGAGATCGTCACAATCTTCAGAAGTAGCCTGTTGGCACTAAGTCTTTGTAGGACTGTGACCTCCCAGCATGGTGACCCCAACTTCTAGAGCCACCATGTCTAGACCCCCAAGTTCTAGAGCCACCAAGATGCAAGGAATCTTGACAACTGCTGGAAATAGGAAGGACGGAGCTGCACCCCACCTTAGTGTCAGAGATCCAGCTCTGCATTCCCTCTTTTGGCTACACACTGGAGGGCAGCTCCCCGACTCTGAACACCCGTGGGCACACTTAAATTTGCTCCCCACTTGAGGCCTTGCGTAGAGAGGACCACCTTCTTCCTACTATTCTCACATCTGTAAACTCAGACCCACAACCTGATTAATATTACCTTGCATAGCTTAGGGCTAGAATATGCCAAGTATCCTTAAATTCCATGCCCAGTGGGGTAGCGGAGGAAACAAAAAAGACCCAAGAATTTACCTCACATTCTCATTGACACAATTGTTACCTTTGGGCATTTTTGAGAATATTCCCAAATTGGAAGTGAAAAGTGATAAGAAACAAAAATGTTTCTTTATTCACAAAGAACATTTTTCATGAAATATTTATGGCATTTAAAATTTCAATTTAACACAAAATGACTCCCAAATGTTCTTGATTCACAGCCTTCTTAATAACCCAGTAATCTTTTCACAGTACCTCTTGACCAAAAGAAATAATTAACAGTTTTGTTTATTAACTAGTTAGGTCAAACCAACTTAGTAGATATTTAATACAAAGAATTATAAGTATAAATAAGTATAATTATAAAATATTAAAAATTATAAACAGTAAAAATAGTAATTATAAAAATAGTAAAATAATTATAAAAATTATAAATAGTAATTGTAAGAATGTATTTTTTATTTCATTCTTAAATAAAAAATTACTAGTGGGATGTGTGAACCCTTGGGGCATACAAGATTCTTAAGTCTTATAATCAGATTATACACCACCATCTTCATTTCCTGTTCCATACTGATTTCTGCATGGCAATTTTTTTTCTCAAATAAACTACCAAAACCCTGGCCTTACAAAAAGATGGCATCACTGAAAGGAACATAGCACTAATACTGAAACTATGAACTACCTCAAGCTAGTAACCTGCGCAGCTTCTGGAAGATGTCAAGTATGGCTATCTCCTTGGATGTTTTAAATATCCTGAAGGTACCTTGTGAGTTCTTTCCATGCCTCAGGGAACCTCAGCACATAGTTTTAGAGGAATGGGTTTAAACTCTGTAATACAGCATAAAACAGGATATCATGGACAAGTTTATCGAACAGGAGAGGAAGCAGGCATCAGAGTATTTGCAGTCACCTTTATGTGTATGTCTTTTGGGTGGATTATGCCTACCCACGTCCATATCTGCTGTGTACAGGAGCAATTTTCTCAACCTCACTGTCATAAGCTGATGCTCTCAGAGGAAAATGTCTATCGTGGTACTTCAGCACTTCAGTGCATGCTCTCCTTAGATCTAAGCTCTTTGCATGAGTCCAGACAGGCACACATTCTAGGTTCTAGGTTTCACTTCTAATTCCCTTGGTTTACTTAAGGAAACTATCTAGGAAAGATATTATTCATTAATAGATACACGATTACTCCTTGTATAAAACTAGTATGTGGGATTGTTTTGTCATTGTGCCAATCAATCTGAATTATCACATTAAAACAATGCTATGATGTCAAAAACTGACAATTTTGAGAAGGACCATGAAAGTAGAATATATGGACATATTTACTAATTCTGAATTATATCCATCTTTGATTTCTATACTTTTCTGTAAATGTGAATGTCCTGTGCATAAAAAGGAAAGCTCTTTATTTTAAACTGCAACTCAGAGGATATCACGTGATAGTGCTTCATTCTGTGATCATTCACATCCTCAAAAAGCACATATTACTGCTTTTCAGAGACACCAAGTATATTTAAATTAAACATGTCTACATTATGACTGGATCATTTGTAAGAAATACAAAGCTAAGTCATAAGTAATTCAGAGGAGCCCTAAATGTCTTGTCTCTGAGATGATGCAAACAATCACAACTGCATTTTAATGAGTAAGAATTTACACAACAGTGGTAAAAGATTTATATTTCCTCTCATTCCTCCAAATGATCTCTTGAAGCATTTGCTCGTTGATGTAGCAAACATATTTTATATTTATAATTTCACTTCAAGCTTGAACATGATTGTTTTTCTATTTACTCTTCAGTATTACTGTAGCTCACTGGTACTATCTAATCCTTTGAACAAGTAAAGAAAACAATTATATAATTACCATTTCTCTATATGTAGAAAAATGTATGGGATTTAATTTGTCCTACTGCATGCAGTTTGAAACCTGACATCAGTAGAATCTATATTTGTAAGCATTTTATAGAACATAGGCTAAGGAGTATTTTTTTAATTTTTATATCATTGTTCCTTTTTAAACAATGTTCGCTTCCCCCCACCCCCTCAGGTGTAGTCCCCATAGAGTTTCCTTCACCAATGCACCCGTGCACCATCACCTCAGTCCCCTGGGCTCCTCCCTCCCTCCCTCTGATCCCTTTCTCTCCTCTTCCCCTGCAGGATGTCTCTGATTTATAATTGGCTAAGGAGTGTTTATTAACATGATCTTCCTCGCTGCAACCTCCTTTAAGGCCATGAGAGGTTGTCCTGAGGGTTTATTTTTGCCTGTAGAACTACCACAGGTTAAGCTTGTGTGTCTCACCCTGGTCAGGAACTGAAGATCTCTTAGAGAAACTGTGCTATGAGAGAATGGAAAAAGATATTCAGCTCAATTCTATTTTATTTCTAACATTTTAAATCAGAACTACAAAATGAAGTTGGAAGATTCCCCAAGAACACTACCTTTCTTAAATAAAATGAGAAAAAAATACAGAACAAAAAAAACAACAGTAACAAAAAAAAAAAAGGTGATCTGTCTGTAAAGTGCTCACCAGGAAGACTTTTCTATAAAGGTCTAACAATAGTGTCTGGCATGCAGTAACTAGTACTATGTAAGTGTTAGTTATTATCATTTTTATTGCTATTGCTGGCCTTTCTGCAATGCATGATGTGATTTAAGAGGAATGGAAAATATCTCAGATTATTTCCAAATAGTATTCTGCCTACAGATAATGGTGAAAAGAAGATAGAGTAAGCCAGGAAAAAAGTCATTCCATCTCTACCCTCCTTCTGAAAACATCCTTATTTTCCCTTATAACTACCAATACCTCATCTAATAATTATTTTGTAGAGGCTGAGGAAGAACTCAATCATTCAGTGGACACACCTGTGTACTTCTTCAGGGGTGGGAACCATGAGACAGTCTCACCACAAATCAAATTTTTTGCATGATTATATCTACCCTTAACATCACAGGAAAAACATGGTTAATCCCTATCTTACTCTGTTCCTTATCACAACATCTCCTTTGTCACCCCTATCTAGAATATTCTACTCATTCACCAAAGTCCTCTTCAAAGTCAGAGTCTCCCTTTATTTGGCAGTAGCGCCTTTTCCTGTATATGAGAAGCCCTTTAGATACCTGCAAGATTAAAGGATACTAGATATAAGATATAAGCTGGTAACATATGTCAACCAACTGTCCAGTACAAGATACCAGTGTTTCCACCTTTATCCCCTAGACCACTAATTCACTGTCCCCTTTCTTTCCCATGGGGTCAGGTTTACTACCCAGAAAATATTAACTGGACAATATCTCCAGCTCTGATTCTTATCAATCAAGATCAACAAGAGACAGTCAACAGTTGCCAATAGTTATTTTAGCATTTTGCCTAGATTGTCTTGTCTTGCTTTTGGCAGCATCTTTAGCAGTGGATAGAAGTAAAAAAGTGGTTTTCCACTATTTACTAGGTAGGCAAAAAATTACAATGCTGTGGTCCCTTTATTTTCTTATAGCTATTAGCAAAATGCAGCCCAAATCACAAAGCCAACCTTCACCCATGTATCTGCTTGAGCCATCCAGTAGCACATTTTGCCCTTAAAAGCAACCAAGCCCAGTCTTTTGCTCACCACCCAGAAAGTCAAACTGTGAACCATGACAATGTCTTTTCAGAGAGAAGTTTACTGGAGGTGGCCACCAAGGGAATCAGCAGAATTGACACCCTATAAAAAATGACTCTCAGAATAGTGGGAGTGCTATGATTATAAAAGGGGTGGGAGGAAAGTGAAGGCATCAAGAGGTGAGAGAAGTGGGAGTAGGGACCTTTCAATTTCCAGATCTGAAGAGGTGCTGGTCAGCCTAGGCATCAGAAGCCAAGGGCTGGGCTTTCTCCGTGGGAAGTGCCTCCTCAGGGCTGTCATCCAGCAACAACCAGCAGACGTTTATTTTTTATGTTACTATCAACCTCAAAGGAGTATAGCACATTTTTGTTAGGGATGCAACACAATCAATTTTCTGAATTTCTAGGAATGCAGTTGGAGAGAAGCACATTAGTTCAGAGGTAAATGTTAGTCACAATGAGGGGGTAGGGAGAAGAGTGAGCAAAGGGTAGTTTTTAATTCCTCTTAGTCCTACTTTAAAAAAAATAAAAATAAAAAAACTTTGTCCAAGTACTTTAGGCTTGGAGGGGAAGGAAGAATGTCCAAATGCAATGAGACAGCTGATCAAATAGCTCCTGGAGTTTCCCCTTCGTGTTCAAATTCTACTGCTTCTACTTCCAGGAGCATTTCTGTCAGCATGTCAGCTGCCAGGGAAATGAACTTCCCCTGAAAATACTCTTGTCTACATGTGGACAAAGTGTGTGTTAGTCTGACCCTTTGCA